GGTATTAGACCCCACGACGAGCAACCCGTGGGTTGTTAAACGTGCTTTAAGTCTTACCACACAACTTGTTTTCCGAATTACTTGTCTTGTCTAAACGCGTCCGTCTAAGCTTCGGGGATGAAGCTTTTTGTAAGGGGGGAGGGTGTAACACCCCATGTTACGGCCTTCGAACCCGGGATTAATCTTAGAGAAGAACCTTAATAGCCAAGGGAGGATTAATTAAGGCTAAGAGGTAACCCATGTCTTACAAAACCTATTTTCCTTACTATCTTTTATTGATTGGCTCCGTTGGTTGATTGGATGTGTGATTTTTTATGTATATCTTGTTAGAGCTTGTCTTTAGGTTTATATGGTGAATTATTACTATTCTTGATATTCTTGATGACCCTGTCAGGCTATTGGTTTGATTTTGTATTTAATTATGTCTAGAGCTTGTCCCTAGGGTTTATATCGTGAATCTCGTGTTGTGATGTCCTTGGTGTTCTTGGGTGGGTTTATGCATGCTCGGTGTTGATTCTAGTCTAGGACTTGTCTTTAGGACTTTGCATATAGATTTCATGATGTTCTTAAGGTTCCGGATGCTCCTGAACCATTATGTGATTGATGTCGAGTCTTGGCCTGTTTAGAAACCGTGTTAGAATGTAATAGGAATGATTCTTAGTTCAATCTTTGTTAATCGAATCCGTGTTGTTGTTGATACGTGTTGGAATGTGTTTGGACATGGTTTTGGGTTCCACGAACAAACACCGAATCAAATATTTACCTTCGTACCAGTGGGGGGTAGGTGGGGGGAGTGAACCCTCGCCACATACCCGCGGCCTGACTGCCAGATTCCAGCAGGCACCCGCTGGAATGTCACCGCCCACCCGCTGGAACGGGGTGGCGCGGCGGGTCGTTCTCCCCCGTTTGTTGTTTCCCCGTGTCCCGTTGTGCCCCGTTGTACCCCGTTCGATGTTTGTGTGTCCCATATGATGTTTTGAGTACCGTTCTAGGAATTTATGTGTAGTGTGTATCGTTGCTATTATACCTTGATTGTTATTGTTTATTATATGTTGTTTGATTGAATGATGATGGGTATTTTTGATCATTGCGCAATGATGGTTGAGATTGATGATAATGAGATTGTGATTAGTGGAATGAATTGTTGGCGGATAGCACAACGAGTGCTCGGTTATCGTGCGAAAGGCACGGACCACCCCTTAGACTTGCTGGCTAAAGGCTTGGGTCAGGGTACAAGCGCCGCGGTGCCATGTCAGAGCTATATGCGCTGACCCCTTGATAGTGGTTCTAGAGGCACAGATCATGCGAATGGCACTTCGTTGCTACCATGTTGGTGGACTTGTTGGTGGTTTCGGTGTGTTAGTCATATTATTATTATTATTCTTATTATTATTCCTGTATCTTTTAATAAATTCAATACGTTGGTATTGTGTGGCTAGCCTATTGTATAGGAATAGTTTACGTAGAATACTCAGCTTTAGTATTGTAATAGCTATCTCTTTGGAACTGAATGAATTATCGTTAATCTCATCTGGTATCAGCAAGCCAAGTTAGGTTCTCTCTCCTGACATTCCCTACCACCACCACCGTACACCTCAAACCACCGCCCCTCTTCACTCATTGCCGCTATGTCTACCAATTCCTCGGAGCGTACTGTGACCGCCGCCACCAGTGCTCCGCCGGTAACCACCTCTAATCCTCTCGCAAGTGCACATCATTTTGTCTCCAAGAAATTAACGATGCGCAATTTTCTATTTTGGAGGACTCAGCTGGTGCCTTTCTTCCGTGGCCAAGAACTCTTAGGTTGCGTAGATGGCGAGAGAGCATGCCCATCCCCGATGATCGACGCCGCTCCTGCCTCCGGTGAGTCTGCCTCCGCCACCACCACGCCGTCTCCGATCCCGAACCATGCGTACAAGGCATGGATCAAGCAGGATCAGTCCATTATGTCCTTGCTCATCTCATCCCTCTCCGATGAGGTGATTCACTTGGCTGTGGAGAGGTCTACGTCCAAGGAGGTGTGCGAATCGATCACGTCCACGCTGGGCAGTTCCACCCACGCCCGGTGTCTGAGTCTGCTCAGACAGTTCCACTCGCTCCGCCAATGATTATTTCCCGTGTTGGTCACGCGTGTATACCATCTGAGTCAAAGCCATTAAAATTGTCTAATATCTTATTTGTTCCTAAATTTTCAGTCTCATTGCTCTCAGTTCAGCGATTTACTAATGACAATAATTGCATTTTTTGAATTTCACAAGAATTGCTTTTTTGTGAAAGATTCAATAACTCGGGAAGTGCTGCTTAAAGGGTCCACGTTGGGTGGCCTGTATAGACTTCCGGTGTCTCGGTCTCATTTTGCCTTTCTCACCTCCCGTGCAACTTCGGATGTGTGGGACCGAAGGCTAGGCCATCCACATGCACACGTTCAAAGCCGTGTCTTAAAATCCTGTTCGGTCATGCCGAATAAAGCCACTTTGTTGGGGTTGTGCAATTCTTGTCAACTGGGCAAAGCTTCTAGATTTCCATAAGATAGGGTTTCTTTTAGTAGAAAAAATGTGTTGGATTTGTTATTTACCGACATTTGGGGACCTTCCTCTGTAATTTCTGCTAGTGGTTTTAGGTATATCGTACTCTTTGTTGACGATTACTCTCGTTTTTGTTGGTTTTATCCCTTATGGGTAAAATCGGATATATATAAAACTTTCGAGTCGTTTCGCGTCAGGGTAGAACGCCAATTCTCGCGTTCTATCAAGTCCATTCAATCATATTTAGGAGGTGAATACCAAAAATTGCATAACATATTTACTACACTTGGTATTAATCATCGCAAGTCGTGTGCGTACACGCACGAACAAAATGGGAGGGTAGTACGCAAAAACAGACATATAGTTGAAACCGGGTTGGCCCTACTGGTCGAAGGCTCTGTCCCTCTAAAATACTGGGACTATGCTTTTGAAACCGCTACTTGCTTAATAAATTACCTGTCCTCCTCAGCCATACAATTTCAAAGTCCGTACACTCTACTCCACAAAGTTTCACCCCCATACACGTTTCTTCGGGTGTTCGGGTGTCGTTGTTACCTGTATCTACGGCCTTATAATCGGCACAAGATACAGTACCGTTCGACACCTTGTGTGTTCATAGGTTACCCACCATCCTTTAGGGGTTACAGATGCGTTGACTTAACATCTGGAAAAACATATATCTCCCACCACGTTCGCTTTGATGAAACCATTTTTCCTTTTGCAGACTTGGAAAAACAGGCTCATACACCAGCGACTACACCCGTACTACCGTGGGCAGCTAGTCTAGTTATCACACAGACTTTGGCTCAAACCACATGTAACACCCCGAAATTTTAAAACTTTTGAAACTTATATAAATAAGGTAGAATCTCATTAAATCCCAAAACACGATATAAAAAGTACGGGGTGCTATGCCACACCTGAGCTAGAGAACTCAGGTGCACAGGTTAACTAACTAATATCCTTAATAATGTAAATGCATAAGTGTGGCACGCAGGCCGAAGAGGAAACTATCTACATCTACGCTCCAAGACTCTAGCGCGATCCAGTGTCTACTCCTCTGTGCCTGAAAGCCAAATATATCTGTTCAGCGAGAGATGCTGGACTTCAATCCGAATTCCCCAAGAATATCACACAATCATCAAGAAACTCTTTTCATCATCAAGATTATCAAGATAAAACCATATCCCCAATTATCAAGATCACATCATCAATATAAACAATTCATCAAGACACAAGAATATAGAGGGATGCCTAAGAGGGAGATCATAGCTAAGAAAATAGGTTTTGTTGAGACATGGGTTACCTCTTAGCCTTAATTAATTTCCTTGGCTATGAAGGATCTTTCTCTAAGTCTTTCTTCTTTCTTGATTTCTTCTAGGGGAATTCTTGGAGCTCCTTGTGTGGTCAGAGATTATTGTGGTGTGGGTTCTAGGTGCCTCCTATGTCCCCTATTTATATTTCTAAGAGTCCTAGTTAGGGCCCAATTACTATAGGTTTGCTAACTCTATTCCTTTTAGGACTAGGGGTTGGGTTTTAGGGGTGAGGCCCACGGACTATGGTGGGCCTTTTCCTAATTAATTATTGTAATTTAATTCTTTCTTTGGATAATTGGTTAAATGATTAATTGGTTTTAGGGGGCGTAACACGGGGTGTTACACCACAGTTGCACCAACGGGGCCAGTTGAGGGTCCAACAGACGGTCCGGTGCCCTTGGCTCAAGACCCTCTACCTTTGGCCATTGAAGGGCCGGTCATGAACCGCCCCACCAGGGCCCGTAAAGTCGTGCCTCAAGAGCGAGGACATGTGATGCGCCTACGATGTATGACTCGGGGTACAGGCGAGCAGTTTCATGCATTGAACGCAACTACTGATCCCACTTGCTACTCACAGGCCGTTGGACATCCACATTGGCGTGAGGCCATGGATCAGGAGTTCAATGCTCTCCTCCACAATAATACTAGGTCCCTGGTTCCGGCTGAACCTCACATGAATGTGATCGGCTGTAAATGGGTGTTCAGGACCAAACGTAATGCCGATAGCTCGATTGAGCGGTATAAAGACCGCCTTGTTGCCAAAGGGTTTAATCAGGTAGCCGGCGAGGACTTCTTCGACACTTTCAGCCCTGTTGTGAAGCCGACTACAGTTCGGTTGTTATTTTCTCTTGCTGTGTCCTATCATTGGACGCTGCGCCAACTAGATGTTCATAATGCCTTCCTTAATGGGCACTTAGCTGAGACTGTATATATGAAGTAGCCTCCGGGGTATGAGGACCCGACACATCCAGGGCACGTGTGTCACCTTCAACGCTCTTTATATGGCCTGAAACAAGCCCCTCGGGCGTGGTTCAAAAGGCTGCATGATTATTTTCTTTCTGGAGGTTTTCTCCCGTCTACAACAGATGTCTCTCTTTTCCATTACTCGGCTGGCACCTCCCGGGTATTCTTGCTAGTGTATGTAGACGACATCATCATGATGGGGTACGATGCCACGCTCATCCCTACTCTGCTTCACCGCCTGCCAGCCGCCTTCAAGATCCGAGATCTTGGCACTTCGGGGTTCTTTCTTGGTATTGAGACCATCAAGAAAGAGACGGGCATGATTCTCTCACAACGTCGTTACATGCGTGACATCCTAGCCCGAGCTGGAATGGCTGACTGCAAACCGCTTACCACGCCAGCATCTGTAACTCAGGTCGTATCACTGACTGAAGAGTCTTGTGACAATCCAACTCAGTATCGCCGCATTGTGGGAGCGCTTCAATACTTGACTATTACCAGGCCAGATTTGTCTTATGTCGTTAACCGCTTGTACCAGTTCATGCACTCATCGACGGTTGTTCACTGGGGTCTTTTACAACGGGTCCTACGCTACATCAAGGGCACTCTCACCTATGGTCTTCACCTTTCGGTCTCTGCTTCATCTACAATTCATGCCTTTTCAAACTCCGACTGGGCTGGTTGTCCTGTCGACAAAAAGAGTACTAGTGGATATGCTATTTTTCTCGGGTCCAACCTCATATCTTGGCTATCCAAAAAACAGTGCACTGTCGCCCGCTCATCTACCGAGGTTGAATACAAAGCCCTTGCCGATGTCTCCGCTAAGGTTACGTGGGTCGTGTCATTGCTTCGTGAATTGGGTCTACACAACGGCGAGCCGTCTACTTTATGGTGTGACAATCTCGGGGCTACTTATCTCTGTGCGAATCCAGTATTTCACGCTCGGACCAAGTATGTAGAGATCTATTATCACTTTGTCCGAGACAAAGTTTCTTCTGGAGACATGGTGGTCAACTTTGTGTCAACTAAAGATCAGCTGGCGGATATCTTCACCTAACCATTACCAAGACCACGGTTTGCCACTCTACGTGACAAGCTCAATGTGGTTGCGCACCACCCTTGTGCTTGAGGGGGTGTGTTAGTCATATTATTATTATTATTATTCCTATATCTTTTAATAAAGTCAAACGGTTGGTATTGTGTGGCTAGCCTATTGTATAGGAATAGTTTACGTAGAATACTCAGCTTTAGTATTGTAATAGCTATCTCTTTGGAACTAAATGAATTATCGTTAATCTCATCCGGTGTGGGGCATGTAGTTGCTCTGGATGAATAAGGGAGGCGATATAAGGGTGACCTGGAGGTACAGGTTGGAACTGATATAAGGATGGAGAGGAGTAAAGGTTGGAACTTGGTATAAGGTTGGAAGATGAATTGTGTGCTTTGATGGTTACTTGCTAATTGATTGTCATTGGATCCCTTTGTTGCCTTTAATTGCTATTTATGAGCTTACTTGTCTATTATGCCTTACAAATGTAGGATGCATCTAGTATCTTTATGATGATTCGTAATGCTAAACCTATTGTCGTGTCTTGAGTCTTGATCTTGGTTTTAAAGCTAGAGTTGTTTAGGATTATATATCTATTCCAGTCTAAAAATGGTTTTCTTATATCTACCTATATTGTACTTAACGCGTGGGAGTGGGTTACCAGCATTATTTGCTGACGGTTGTTACACCGTATGTTTTTCATGTGCATATCAGTAGCTTCAGAGTGCGCTAGATGGACACGAGGACCTAGCTTAGATAGTTTAGTATTAGTTAGATGGTCTGTGAGCCTTGGATTGTATTATGGATATTAATTATCGTTTATGGTTGTTTAGTTAGTTTAGCCTGTGCATCTAGGTTCTCAAACCTAGATGTGGCATAACACCCCGATACTTATGTTGTTAATTCCACTTTGTTTGAATGAATAATGATAGATTTGCCTTTATTTCATAGGCTTTAAATGTTTTAAAAATTAGGGGTGTTACAATAAGTGTATGTATGTATATTATAAAAAATTATAAATATTCATGTTTTGTTAATTTTATAATTTCATTTCTTTAATTATATTTCATATTTTATTAATTATAATTTAATGAAATTGTCACAAATATTTCTACGGAAGAAACCTTATGGGGTTGTTTACTAAATTAGAAAAACAGAAAATTTTCTAGAAAAATGTAAAATTGGAGAAGTGGAAAAATGAAAAATGGAGAACTTGTTTACTAATTTTATATCTCCAATTTTAATCTCTTCTCAATTCTTCCACTTCCTAGGAAAATACACATTCTCCAAATGGAGAGATGGAACACGTGAATAGTGCTCAAGCTTAGGTCTTAGTTTCGAATCTTGCACACAACATGTTTTAAACCCAAAGCTATCATCTTTCTCTTCCGCTTTTGTTTCTTCCCTGTGCGTGCCCTTTTTATTTATTATTATTATTATTATTATTATTATTATTATTATTATTATTATTATTTTTATTATTACTATTATCTCTTTTCTTTTTCATTTTCCTCCTACTTATATATTTGTTGTTGTTATTATTAAATTATTACTATTATTATTATTAAATTATTATTATTCTTATTATTATTAAATTATTATTGTCATTATTACTATTATTATTATTATTATTATTAAATTATTATTATTATTATCATTATTACTATTATTATTATTATTATTATTATTATTATTATTATTATTATTATTATTGTTATTATTATTATTATTATTATCTTTGTTGTAGAAATATACAAATACTATATGGGATGATTGTTTTTAATAGAATAGAAAATTAGAAAAATAAAAAATTGGAGGAATGGAGAAATGGAAAACTGGAAGAATGAAGAAGGAAAACTGGAGAAATGGAAGAATAGAAAAATGAAGTAAACGACCCCTATATTTCTCAATTTTTTTTTTTTTTGAATGCTACTAGCTCTATTACATTGTAGTATCTGTTCATATACTTTCTCAATCTACTGAAACACAAAGAGCAAATAACGCCTCCACTGAGGCTCGAACTTACAACCTTCCAAATGGAAGTCCAACCCGGATACTATTAGACCACATAGTCCTGGTCCTATATTTCTCAATTTAATTAATTATATTAATTATAATTACCAGTGGTAATTACCATAATAATTTCATTAATTATATTAATTGTAATATTTGTTCTCTTCCAATATTTAAATACACTACCATAAAATTACCATAATAATTACACAAAAGAAGGAAAGAAAATTATGAGAATAATTACCTTTAATAAAAATTAGGAAATTATATTAAAAATTAATTATAAATTAAGGTAAATATAATTTATTTTGTGCCAATAATATTATACATTAAGTATAAAAATATATATGTATATAAATTACCATAATAATTACACCGAAAAAGGTGACAATACATAATTATTTGACAATAATATTAATAATTAATTATTAAGGCAAGTATAATTAATTTTGTGCAAATAATATTATACATTAAGTATATATATATACACTTTTAATCCTATTTTTATAAGCATAGTCCGTGTATATATTTTAAGAAAATAATCATTATTAAAATTGAGATATAATTTAAAAAGAAAATTATTAATTAGATTACCTAATATAATTGTCCTACTAATTGATTCCACGCTACTAGGTATAATTCCTATATTTGAAAACTTTCTAAAGCTATATACCAATTAATTGCCTTAATAATTAAGATAATTTTTAGTCAATCAATATTCAATAGTACTAAAAGTATTATTTCAAATTTCTATAAATAAGATATAATATTATTAAACCGAAATAATTAAAAATAATGTGTACATATTATCAAAAATTTTATAATAGTAATTTTTATTACCTAATAGAATTTGTCAATTATTAAACATTGTTTATGGTAATTATTGTATGACATTTAATACTAAAATTAATAAGTAGAATTTTTATAATTAAGGTATAATATTATTAGATCAAATTTATTAAAAATAATGTGTCCACCCTTAAAGTATTTATTAAAAATAATATTTATGGGAAAATGACACTTTTAAAAATAATGTTTATGGGAAAATGACATTTTTTTTCCATAAGTTATATACTTATAGCACTTTTTCCCCTTCAATTATTTATGTAAGCATATTAGCCCCCTCAATTATTTTAAAAGTGGTGGTTTTTCCCCCTAATATATTAAATTGACATTTCTACACTTAAAGTAAACATTTTATTTATTTTACTTCTCCAACAAATTATTGTGTGTATGTAGCAATGACCACGGTTCGGTTCGAACTAAACCAGACACTATAGCAATCGAATTAAAAGTTTTCGGTTATGATTCAGATCTAGAACCCAATATTTAGATTTCAATTTATTAAATTTATGAACCCAAAAAAGTGGATCATGAACTGTGAACCGGCGGTTCCGGATCCAGTTCGCGATTTTAATAAATTCTAAATATCGCGTTTTGATTCTAAATTGTAATTGGAATATTTTAATTTGGTTGCTATAGTATCTGTTTGGTTTGAACCAAATTATAGTAATAATTTCTTGGAGAAGAAAAATAAATGAAATATTTATTTTAAATATTTATTTTAAGGGTAAATATGTCCATTTAACATTTTAGGGGAAAAAAGAGCCACTTAAATAATTTAGGGGGGAAAAGTGCTATAAGTATATAACTCGGGAGGAAAAAGTGCTATTTTCCCTAAAATAAAATATACTTGTCTTAATAATTATTTATTAATATAAATTTACAATTATAAATTTGTATAAGAAAAACATATAAACTTCTGGTTAAGAAAAATTTCTCCATTTCCTTTTTCTCTTTCCTCACCATCCCACTCCCACTCTCTCTAGAAAAGCACAAAGTAGGATGAGAAAAGGCCTTCATCTACAGGGTCCTCACACCTAAATTCGATTTAGCTTTTGCTTGATTGTTGTTTTGCCTAGCGAACCACGTAAACCCTTAATGCTTCTTGTTAATAAAAAAAAACATAGAAACTTGAATGACATGTACAAATATCGAAGTCAACATACTAACTCTTAAGTTTCAGAAAATCTTACAAAATTAACAAAATTACCGTCGTTATCATCCTCGATCGCATCTCTACAATCTTCCATAAAAACTAAACCATTAGAGTTCTGTTAACAAGGCTCTTCCTCCTCAATTTCCTTTTGTTGAAGTAGAGCCTCCTTAAAGTATCTCCAAGTTCATACCAGATGATATAAACTGCAAAACATATTGAAGTACATGGGAATATATAGTTAAAAAAGGTAGAAAATTCATACAAAATGAAAGTGGAGAGATGAGTCTGAGAAGCCCTACCGATGTGGAGAAGGAAATGATGGGGGAGGTAGGGATTAAAAGAATTATAAATTTGTATTTATTGGAGGAAAATACAAATTCAAAAGGAAAGTATAATAATTTATTTATTTAAGGTAATAATAATAATAATAATAATAATAATAATATTATTATTATTATTATTATTATTATATATATTAAATATTAATTGTAATATATATATATATACATATATATATATATATATATATATATATATATATATATATATATATATATATATATATATATATAAATGCCCCTAAGTTTTGGGGGGAAATTTTGGCTAGCAGGATTTTACTTTTATATATATAGGGATAGGGATATCGATATAGATATATAGATTTTGGCTAAAGTGTCATCCCGCACCATGAACCATATCATATTATTCATGTCACACCATGGTCTTTCATAACATATATTTTTCCTTCTACCATTATTTTTTTTTTCGTCTATCATTTTTTACAGGTTTTCAACAAGTTACCGGTAATAATATGTTGTCATGGAATTTTTTGTTTTTTTATTTTTCTTTTTTCATAAATACAGGTTTCATATAGGTTTACCAACACACCACCCTTTTTCCCTCCACCGCCACTGTACCCTCCGAACCCCCAGTTCTACCATGGGCACACACCGCCAGTACAGCCGCAATTGGCTTACGACCCCTTTGTCGATCACCA